ATTATTATTATTATTATTATTATTATTATTATTATTATTATTATTATCTGATGCTAAGGAGTTCTACTTCCTCTCCCCACCTGGAAAGAAATCTCTTCCAAATGCAAAACCCAAGCAGAGGAGTTTCAGTTTCAGTTTTATAGCACCAAGCAGCTTTTAGTACAGAACAGTTGAGCTAAGCCCCGCCCAGGCACCTTGCTGTCTCCTTGCTCACACAGCAAATACCGTTTCAGTTTCCAGACAGCCCTCAACTCCGACACACTGACAGGACGCTAGCCAGATGAATCCCGACGGATGCTGGCAGGCAGGGGCAGAATTTTTTTCCCCCTTATTTTTCTCCACAAAAATCTAGGCCCGGCCACATAGTTCTGTAGCGAAGCACGGGGGATCGAGCTAGTAAATAAATAAACCAGACTTCCTCTCCTTCACAACTTCGGCCACCCCGGTCTTTGTCCCCTGACGCCTGTCTGCCGTCTCCTCACAGGTCTTCAGCGCGAAGCGCCCTGACTCGGAGATGCCCCCGTTGCCCCCGAGTCTCTTGAGTAAGCAGCCGAGCCCGGTGGCCCTCGAGGAGTCCCAGCAACAGGCCTTGACCTGCCTCATCAGCGAGAAGGACCTGGTGTTGCTGGAGAAACTGGGCGACGGTTCTTTCGGCGTGGTGCGCCGCGGGGAGTGGTGCGCCCCGTCGGGCAAGTTGGTAAGCCATTACAAAGGGGTGCCGCCGCTTCCGGCTAGCCAGGTTTTATTTTAAGAACCAGACTTAAACTCCTGGGAGTAAGTTCCGTCGAAGGGCGGACTTTGAAGAGGTGCGGACTTCAACGCCCAGAATTCCCCCCAGCCTCTTGGAGGAGTTGAACTTGGGAGTTGGAAGTCCCACACGTCTTCAAAGCGGCCAAGGTTTGGACGCCTGGACTAGATGATCTTTGGAAGTCCCTCCCAGGTTCACAATTGTAAAGCGCAACCTCTCAGAAACCGAAGGAAATAGGATAACCTTTATTGTCGTGTTTTTTTTTACAGTGGGCACACTGGCACACATTAAGAATGGCTTGGACTGAGAATAACTTTTATTGTCACTTTGAATGTGCCCTAATTCAGCATACATTAAAATGAAATTTCGTTGCATAACAGCTTCCAAAGGATCTCCACCTCCAATATACACTACATCAACGTGACAAAATAAATAGAAATTCTGTTGCCTGTTCTTAAAAGTGTACACATACACAACACACATACACATGTTACATACATACATCTATATATCTATCCATTTATCATATGTATCCATTTATTTATTCATCCATCCATCCATCCTTCTGTATTCATCCATCCATATATCCATCTATTTATGTACCTATCCTACTATATTCATCTATTCATCGATAATATTCATCTATCTTTCTATATTCATCTATCCATTCATCTTATATTTATTCCTCCATATATCCTATATTTATCCATCCATCA